GATTGATAATTGTTAGAATTAAATTACAAGTTTGTGATTGGTGATAAAGAAATCAGCTCTGGATTTGTAACTTATATTTTATATCATCAAGGGTTAAATGTTAAAGATACTTGGATGAAAAATTATGAGAATACTCCGATATGGTAAAATTACGAAATTACCCTTATGTTGGAAAATGATAAGAATTGCCCCTGGAAGTTGGTTAATAACTCTGAAAATACATATTGATCCGATATAACTACTGATGTGCATAAGAAATATTAGTTTTATTTGGAAATTTTGGATAATCGGTTTTAATCCTATGAGAGTTTGTGAAGGAATCATTTCAAAATCAAAGAATGTTCGGGAAAGCAATTGATCATAGGATCTCTAAATTATAATTATTTTCGTTAAGTGCTAATATTGAAATTATTTGGTTAAGAAATTACGAAAATGCCCTTGAGAGATAAAATAGTCTGAATTGACCTTGAATGAGAGAGTACCTTGAGGATTTGTACTTAACTCGATTAAGTACGAATTTAATTGTTAAGATCCTGTCTTTGTACAGAAAAATTTATAATATTTCGTTTGTAAAATCTGAGAAGACACTTGACCCGAAAATATTCGATTAAGGAGTAAATACTTGAAGAGTAATTTATTGGAGGTATTCTGCTGATAGAATTGTTCGAAAGGACTGAAGTAAATGATAAGATTGAATTAAATAATAAGACCGGATGGAAGGAAATGATTGAAATATTCTAGAATTATAAAATGACCAAATTACCCCTGGAATGGAAATAACTCAAGAATGTCACCAAGCTCAGGAATGAATGGATATACTCAAGCTTTGAAATGAATAGAAAAAATGTTAAGCACCAAAATGACCAAAATACCCTTATGACCTAGAATAAGTAAATGTCTTGGATTAATTAAGAAATCCAAATAAACATGGATGTTGTGCTACCAGTAAAAGTTGTGAAACGCAACTTAAGTGATTAACCAACGTTAGTACTATATCATTACCTGAATGATATAAGTATCACTTGAATGTTTGTTTATCTGCTCAAATTTGGATCGATGATAATTCTGGAAGTACTTGGCGCAGCTCAACTCTAGAGCGCATACAGTACTAATAAGTGGGTAGTCGTTAGTCAAATCAACCACGAATACCATAATAACTTTATTATATGAATAAATTGAAATGAAATGTAGTACAACGTGTATTTGAAAATTCAGAAACGTCTAAATTATTCTGGAAAACTTTAAAGTAATCGAGATAGACTTGCTTACCAAACGAACTAAGTAACATCAATGAGTATGGATTAAATAGGTGATTTGATGAGTTTGGAAACACTGTTGAACTTACATGATGAATTGTCATTATGGGTTATGAGCCATGGATCCAGTACGTCAGTATTTCCTGATATTGTTGAAACGTGGAAATGAAATAAAGACCGTTGGAAGATTTATTCAGTGATGATTATGGGGATGATCTATGGATCTGCACTATGGTATTAAAGAGTGAATGCATTGGAAGGATAATGAATTGATTTGTTGACATGCATCAGTCTGTGAGTTGTGTAACTTGAGTTGTTTGATAATACTATCGATAGTCATAGATCGTAAATGACTTGAATCTTCGATTACATATTTTGATCTAAAATCAATTCGGTCATGTTTGAAAACGCAAGTAACGCAGAAGGAAAAGATTCTGAATACCTCATTTGGTACAATTGGGCTGAAATCCTATGAATTCAAAGTATATTCCTGAATACCCCTGATTGTTTGGGTAATGGAATCACTCGCAGTAAATCTGAATTTAGAATTATTATGTAAAAAGGTTCCTGAACGTTTTCCTGATGCACATGGAAACTTAGTGGAATTCTAAAGTATCAATCAGAAATGTCTGATTATATTGGTTAGAAATCGATTCTCTTCAATGAGATCTTATTCCTGGAATCTGATCAAATTGCACAAGTTCGTGTTATCTATATTGATAACTACAAAATGCGTCTGAAAAATATATGGATTCTCTAGTGTGTTCCTTATATTTTGAAAAAAAATTGTTTTATTGTTTTAACACGTGGTACACTGAAATCTATGGTTTCTATTTTATGGATGCACCGACTTAACGGTGATGGCTTATGGATTTGTATCATTGTATAAACTGTATCTTGGAGATACATATTTGTAAAGTACAGCTCTGATCAAGCTGGAAAATTTTTATGGACCTAATGTGACACTTAGGTAGGCTCTGCGGCCCTGAGATCATTCTCGGGTAGGCCCTGCGGCCCTAAGATGTGTTCTTAGGTAGGCCCCACGGCCCCGAAATCTATCTTGGGTAGGCTCTCAGGCCCTAAGATGTTCCCTTAGGTTAATTCTTTGTAAGATGGTTTTAAAATACGAGTTTAAAAAGCTCCACTACAATATGGTTTATGGGATTTTACTGAACTATCATTTGATTAGTGTACCTATTATGATTTTATCGTATTGATGAAACACACTAGACATCCTATTTGACCTCATGAAAACGTGATTGTATGAAAGGTTTCTTATGAACTGAGATTCATGGCTTCTACTCGATGAACTTCTAAGGGAACCCCAAATTATTCTACAAGCTGGTATACATATGATTCAATAAGGAAATTATATGGCTTTCTATTTATCTACATGTCATGTAGCATCACCTGGTAGTTTTGTATTACTGAGCTTTCCAAAGCTCACTCTATTACTCACCTTTTCAGGTTAAAACAATTGTACCAGTGCATCTATCGACTTCAGTAAGGGAGTTCTTCCGGCGTGGTTGCAGAGTATGGTATTTGTGATTAGGGGGCATGTAATTGTATTTTGATTTATATACGAGTTTGGAAATCTGTTTTATTTTTAAATAGTGATGAATGATTTTATAAGTTTACATGTTCTGATAAAAAGTTTTAAAATTTCCGCTATTTTTACGGTGGGTCGCTCCGGTGACCCTAATGTGACTTCCCGAATCGGATCGGGCTACCCGCATCGGTTTGGGGTGTTACAGTACCCACTTAAAATTTGATCATTGTAATACTTGACCAAACTAACACATAGTTCTTGATGGAAAAACTGTATCCACTTTGAATTTTATCATTGTAATACTTAGACCAAAGTATCTGGTTGTTTAAGCCTTCAAAAATATTTTTTACTTAAAATCAAAATAGGATCAAATTCATATAGAATGATGTTAGATTAATTTCAAAAAAAGAAGAAGAGGATTTTGTATAATGTAAATTAAATTAAAATACTTAATTAGAAGAAAGAAATTGAAAATAAAGTGAAATTTAATTATATAAGGATATGTAGTCAAGATAAATTATAGAATTTAATTTATGATTTGATCATAAATATGAACTTAAAAATTATCTAAATTATTTTTGAATAGGTTGGTTATAGTTACTCAGAACGTCCTAATAATCTAATATATTCTTAGTTTATCTTTAACGAAAAGACACTCGAATGATTAATTCCCTTGTTAATTAGACAATCTCACAGAGACGCTCCTAGGATTTAATCTATTCAACAACTTTTTGGAGAATTAACACAAATATTACGAGGATGAGATTAATTGGAGAATCAACGTCCAGGCAAAATGGTTATCTCGAGTGGAAAAAATTATGAGGATGAGATTAATTGGAGAATCAACGTCCAGTCAAAATGGTTATCTCGAGTGGAAAAAATTATGTCAGTTCAGTCGGTTTAATGCACCACATCAACATTCTGTTACTCCAATAACAACTATTAATAACGAATGATTGATAATATTAATGACTAAATCATTACTTTTAAAACAACAGTAAAAAAAGAAATATTTACTCAAATTTCAATGATCATTTCTATAGTTTACCAAAAAAAAAGCAATATCAAACGAAATAAAATGGTCAAATCAATTAACTAATCGCATGGTCTTCATTGATGCTCACAGTTCTGTTGACATGAAACTCAAAAAGTTGCAAACAAGGAAGTAATTATTATTATTATTATTATTTTTTTAGTTTTAAAGTTTCACCTTAATTAATTTCGATTAATCGGATTGTATAATTAATTTTGATGGGTGAGTCTCTCAACAAGAATTTTTTACATGTACAAGGATTTAAACTTGAAATCTTATTTAATTAATATCAAACTATTTATCACTTAAACCAACTCTTATTGATTAGGAAGTAATTATTGATTGCATATTAATTGAGTTTGATAAAGGCATCTAAGACAAACATGCGATGAAGCAAGAGATAATCCTGGAACCATCCATTGTATTTCACTTTTTCTACGCATTTTCTACAAAATTACGTGTGCTGTTAAATTGAAAGTTTTGTCAGAGAAGAAGATAAACAATTTGCAGTTTCTGGAAATTGAAAAACAGAATGCTCTCTTTGATTTGAAACAAATTTACATCACAACCACAAGGAAAACATCAAAGATATATATTTTACAATCTCTAATCAACAAAGTTGGTATAACGAGACAGATCATGAGCTACTCGAGATCGATTCGATTAAAGTTTGATAAATATTCAAATTAAATAGACTTGACTCGAGTTCGAGCTCGACTTAAATTCTTAACAAGTCGAAACGAACTATTTGATATTCGACTTGAAAAGCTAGTGAATAGCTAAAAAATATAATATATTAATATTATATTTATTAAAAAATAAATTATTAATAATATTAACATTTATGTATTAATTTTTTATTTAAAAATATAACAAGATTTTTATGTATTTAAAATTTTAGGTTCAAATTTAAGTTTGAAGCTTCAATCGAGTTAAGTTTAAAAAAAATTTTCTTCATGTCGAGTCTTTTCAAGATGCTCACTACCTTTAGTTCATGGTTTCGAGTTCGAGTCGAGCTGGTAAATTTTAAGTTCGCGAATTTTCGAGTCGAGCTCTGCTCGTTAACACCCCTACTTGGTGGCATAAGCCCAGGCGTTGTTGTTGACAGGGTCGGCAAGGTGGTCGGAAGTTCTCCAATGGTTTCGGGTGACGATGTCTTGGACGAAGAATCCGAACATGGAGAACATAGCCAATCTGCCGTTCTTGATCTACTTGACCTTGAGTTCAGCGAATGCCTCTGGGTCATCGGCAAGACCCAACGGGTCAAAGCTGCCACCCGGGTACAGTGGGTCGGTCACCTCACCGAGGGGGCCACCGGCAATGCGGTAACCTTCAACAGCTCCCATCAAGATAACTTGGCATGCCCAGATGGCCAAGATGCTCTGAGCGTGGATCAAGCTCGGGTTGCCCAAGTAGTCAAGTCCACCCTTGCTGAAGATATGGGAACCTGCCTTGAACCAGACGGCCTCACCGAACTTGACTCCGTTCGTGGCCAAAAGTTCAGGGAAAACACATCCTAGAGCTCCCAACATCGCCCATCTGCAGTGAATGACTTCGAGCTCACGGTTCCTAGCAAAAGTCTCTGGGTCAGCTGAAAGTCCAGCAGTGTCCCAACCGTAGTCACCAGGAAACTCTCCAGTCAAGTAAGATGGAGGCTCACCGGAGAGTGGACCCAAGTAAAAAACTTTATCGGGACCGTACCATGGGCTCCCGGAATTAGTAGGTTTGGTAGCTGTTTTCCTCATGGAAACAAGGCCATTGGCATGGATTTCAGTAGTGGAAGGAGATAGCTTTACAGCCTTTCCGTCGAGTGATGGGGAAGAAAGAGCCATGGCGGCCGCTGCTATTGTTTTCTTATTTGGCAGTAAATGTTTTCTTATTTGGCTCTTATTTTTTTCTATTTGATTCAATTATAATTTATTTTCAATTATTATTATTATTATTATTATTATTATTATTATTGTTTATTTGTCGGATAACGTTCCATCTAACATTGACTTATCGTAGGACAAAGTAGGGAGGTAAGAGTTTGAGTATTGTTGATCTTGACTCGATTCGAAAACTCTGAAATAGAGTTTGACTCGAAAACTCGCGAGTTTAAAATTTTTAAGCTCGACTTGAACTCGAAATTCTAAACTGAAGCTCGTGAGCAGCTCGAAAAGTCTCGAAATGAAAAAAATTCTTAAACTTAACTAGATTGAAGCTTCAAATTCAAACTCGAACATGAACCTTAAATACATAAAAGTCTTATTGTATTTTAAAAAAAATCAACACATAAATGTTAATATTATTAATAGTTTATTTAAAAAAAATTAAATCTTAATATATTATATTTTCGAGAGCTGCTCACGAGCTTTTCGAGTCGAGTATCAAGTAGCTTGTTTCAGCTCGTTAAGAATTCGAGTCGAGCTCGAGCTCGAGTCCATTCGATCCGAGTATTTATCGAGTCTTGACCGAATCAATCTCGAGTAACTCACGATATGTCTCATCTCAATTACAATCCTAGGACAGAGGAATAATTAATGGAAATGCATTTTCAATCAAAAACCATTGCCGCACCATCCTCTATTTAACAAAAATAACATATTGGAATGAAGTTTTCCCTTCAGCACTAAAACTTTCGTTTTTCAGAATTGAATCTCTTTCAAACTACTTCAACTTATACGATTTTGAATCATATATATATCATATGGCTCAACAAGTTTATGTAGAGGGAATGAATGCAAAAGGTAAAACACATGTATTGTAATGTATTGCAGTAATTTCAGAAACAAGCAATGCCATGTATTATGCTTGAGATTGTTTACTAAAGATGTGGATTGAAATAGTGTGCTTCCATGGAAAATATGAAAATCTTCAATACCCAATGAAATCAGAGATATAGATACTACTTCCTTATGGACTAGGGAACCTATCTCTCCACTCCCTATATTAACCTCCTTTCCGTCACTCTCAAATCCACATTCACCCGCTCACACTTTACAATGGCAGCAGCAACAATGTCTCTCTCTTCTCCATCATTCGCCGGAAAGGCTGTCAAGCTCTCTCCTTCCACTCCTGAAATCCGGGGCAATGGCCGTGTTTCCATGAGGAAAACAACTACCAAACCTAATGCTACCGGAAGCCCATGGTACGGCCCCGACAGAGTTTTGTACTTGGGTCCGCTCTCCGGTGAGCCTCCATCTTACTTGGCTAGAGAGTTCCCTGGTGACTACGGATGGACAACAACAACGTTCATGAATGAGTGGTTCAAATAGAATGTAGAAAAGAGAAGATAATTTTTTAAATATTGAGAATTAATTTTTCTAGATTATTTCATAACTGTCTCTCGATTATAGGGGTTGTTTTATTGAGTCAATCAATCTCAATTGTAATTGAATTGTTGTTATTCCTTGAAGGTCTGGGTTCGAGCATCAGGAATGTTAAAGGTGTAAGCGTTCAATGTAAAATGGTTGAAAATTATCTTTGAACATATATTGCCTTGTACTTATCCCATATTAATAATAATAAAAAAACTATTAAAAATTATAAAATGATCATTTGATTATAAGACATTACTTTGTTGAGCTCATGACTATTAAAAAATACAAAATGATCATCATATTATTCATATGTTTTAGACTTGTCCTTTTTTTATTAGAAAATTAATGAAAAATAACATACGTTTCAGTTGAATATTAACTTAATGACTGAAATATGATAAAATTTGATCCTAAAATCTCAAACGGTCCTGAAATCAAATTTAATTATATCATAATCAACAAGTTAACATCTAAGTTAACCTCTAGTTTAAATGATGAAATTTAACATTTGGTCTCAACAACCATACCAACAACATTATAGTAGGAGTATAATAAAATCGGATCCTAAAAACATAGTCTTCCATTCAAAACAATTAAATCATACACACGAATACTCTGTGATTGATTAACTATTTGCATTAATACAGGAAATCTAGCACATTAGCTTTGTGATTGATAAACCAGTACTATTTCTTGACAAATTTGAAATGACCAACACCATTGAAATGACCTTAATCTCATTCATCGGATCGTGGAAAAACACCATTGCAAACACTGGAACAATAGGCAGCCCTAACGTGCTGATGACATTGGAGAAGAGCGAAGACGCTTCCTGGATCAAACCCACCGCACCGATCGAGAAAACTTGCCACCCTATGGCGATCCAAACCAGTACGTTGATGTACGATGACTTCCCCAGCTTAAACCCTTTCATTTCTTTGCCCAAACTCTCCCATTCCCCACTGGCGAAAAGCCCCGCAAAGATTACCAAAGTTGCAACCAACGACTGGTAGATTATCATGTCCAACACAACATTAAATGTTTCCTTTTTCAGAATCTTTTGGAAACAAAATTGTGTTAGAGACATCATTAATCCATACCCTGCTGACGCAGCTACTGTACATACAAATCCGATCACGTATTTCCCTTTGGAAACCGATGTGGAACCGGAAGAATCGTTATTGAACACGAGAAGAGCTGAAGAGATTGTGAGGAGAACTAAAGAGTTGATTATGAAAGGGGTGAACTTTTGTGAGTTAAGGAAGAAGGAAAAGAAGGCATTGAAGGCTAATTGGGAAGCACAGATAAGGGAATAAGTGGAGACCGAGAGATATAAAAGACCAACTGAATACAACAGGCAATCGGCTGCCAATAGTACTCCAAGTCCAGAATACATGGCCAAAAGAACCAAAACAGATGGTGGGTTTATTGTGATGTCGCTATTGTTTGTCTTGTGGTTTGAAGATTTGTATGATGAAAGGTGATACAAGGGAATGAGGATTGGGAAACCAGCAACTTGAACTAAGGTTGCCATCCACTTGCTGTTTCCACCTTTGTCGTAGTACAACCTTCCGAGAAGAGTAGCCATTGACTGACCGGCGAGGAGAAAAAATGTGTAGTTTGTCATTAGGAGCCACCATTTGTAGGTTCTTTGTCCGGGGATTGTTGTTGACTGTCTCATGATTCCATTTGTTTTCCGCTCAGCTGAATTTTCATCTAATTTGTTGCCCTCATCTGGTAAACAATCAGTACTTTTACATGTTTAATTGGTTCTTATGGAAAATGAAAATCAAATAGATGAAGTGGAAGGACTTACCCAGGATCTGGAGTTGTATTTCTGTTGCTTCTCCCATGTCAAAGTTGAGAGTAGTTCAATATTTCAATCAAAGATAAAGAATCACAAACAAGACGAGAGAGCTGATTAATGGCGGTGAAGGAGAGAACAGAAAGCACATGGCAGCATATGGATTAAACAAGAAGCTCTGCAGGGACTCCACTAGCTTGTAAAGTCTGACCAAGAAGAAGGTCGATCCTGGCCCTGAGTGGGTCCCGTTTTGAATATTGTTGATGGGTTTTTTACCATTTTATTTCGAATTCATGCTAAAGACAAAAAAACTGAAAGAAAAAGAAAAACATTAACTCATTCTTATTGTTCTTTTTCTCTTTAATTCGGAGACTATTGTATATGGCGTTTAGTTGTTTTAGTTGTACCAATATTTAATATGTGGATTATTGTTTAACAAACTTCTATATTTTCTTATATCATCTGTGCTCTTGCAGGGGGAGATGAAGGTATATTTATCCGCGGATTATGATATATAATTTTGTAAAATTTAATATAAGATTTTCTTTTTGTTTTTCAGATTTTCAAGATTTCATTTTCGCTAATGCGAATTGATCCGTTTGCATATCTTTCTGTGGTGGATGAGTCTATCAACATGGATTTTCTACATACATAAGAGTTTCAAACTAAACTTAAACTCAAGACATATTTAAATTATATCAAACTGTTTACCATTTAAACTAACTTTTGTGAGTAAAATAAATTATAATATTAGATCTTTATTTTGTGTACAAAAATTATGAGTTGGTTGCACATAAAATAGCAATATAAACGACTTAATCAATAGTGACCATATTTATGAGAGGTTCTGTGGTCTACATCAAAGGAGAGGTGGATCAAAGTGAATGTTGATATGACAAGAAACATAGAGACGAGATTAGTTTTTGTTGAAATGATTCTTCATTGTTCTAGCGGTAACTAGAGGTGAGTATTTTATTGAGTCGAGTAAAAAAAATTTGAGTTGTTTAAGTTGATGAATCGTATTTTATGACTCAAACTTAATTTGATTCTTTTTTAAGTCGAGTCGAGTTATCGAGTTTCTATACAAAATTAATTTTAACTTTATATAATATTATGATACATATTAGTTCTAGTTTTTTATTTCTCTAATCATATAAAATATATATATATTTCTTCACATTTCTATATATTATAATGTTATTTAATAAATCAAATACAATCTAAATTATAAAATATATTTACTAATTTGAGGGTAAAGGATTGATAGAAGTATGTCAAGACATTAATGTGAAGAAAGAATTTACAAACAAATGTAGTCAAAAATACCAAATTGATTAAAATACAAATTTAATGGATTGAATTAAAAAAGAGAGAGTACATTTTTAGTAAAAAATAAGAATTAAAGTTACATATGTATTATATAGTTGTAGGGGAGCATGCGGTTCAAATTTGGTCAAAAACAAATTAAAATGAAGGATGATTTGAATAAATAAGGAAATCATGCAAAGTTGAGGGATTAGATTGAAAAAATAAAAATTTTGTAATCAAAAAGAGGAATTAATAGTAGATAGATATTCTATAATGGTTTAGGAGCATGTGGTTTAATTTGATAAAAAAAAATAACTTAAAGTGGATGAGAAATTGAAGGAATATGAAATCAAGGACCAAATTACAAATCTATCAAAATTTTCATCTAAAATTTTGAATTTTCGAGTTACACAAAATTTTAAAATTTCAGCTCAACTCGAACTCGAAAATTGATTCAGTATTTCAAATTGACTCGAATAACTCAATAGCCAAAAAAATCAAATTTTCAAGTTAAATCGAATTTTGTCCACCCCTAATGATGATTGATTAGTGGGTTATGAGTGCATAATCAGTTACCATTTAGTTTTTGAAACGAAGTTGTGTGCTGCATTCGAAAGGTTGTGAAGGCCAGGGATATAAGGGCGTATAATATAATATTAAAGCTAGATAATATTGTAAAATGTGTCCTTAGAAGTATAACATTGGTACACAGTTATTTAAGGGGAAGAAAACACAATTGTTAATCGTATGACAGTGTTGGCTGCAAATTATGCTGCCACTAGATTCACTTTATTGAAAAAAACAATTGATTAGTTAGATGATGTTAATGTTAATAACAAATTATATCATTTGGTTAGTTGTTGGTTAGCTGCTGGAAGGTTGGGAAGGGTAGTTGACTGTGTAGGTCTATGGTATGTTATAGGGGTATGTGATGTCAAGTATGAGTTATTAACTAAAAGTGTATAATGATCCTTACTACTTCAAGACACATTTTTTTTTCTCTGTTTAGGCTTAAGGAGGTTTTTTAATGAGGTTCTTAATGTGTACTTTGTAATTAATTATAGGGTAAAGTATAGTAATGGTCACTGAATTTTTCTAAAGTTTTCATTTAGGTCCCCCAACTTTTAAAACTTACAATACAATCCCTCAACATTTAGTCCATTTACAAAATGATCCCCCAACATTTAGTCTGTTTGCAATATGGTCTATGACCGTTTGACGCCGTTACGCTGCCGTTAGTACATTTGCAATAAGGTCACTAAACTTTTTAGGTGTTTGCATTTAGGTCCCCAAACTTTTAAAACTTGCAACACAGTCCTAAATTTCATTCTAAACTCTAAATTCCTTTTCGATCTCAAATTTCATTTTTCGTTTCTCTCTTCTCATTTGAAGCTCTTTATGGACGACCACCTCCGACTATTTCTCGTTATATTCGGGATTCTTCCAGTCACCCTCTTTTTGATGCTTTCTTGGTTCAAATGGATGAGGTGTTGCGTAATCATAAAATCAACTTGCTTAAGGCTCAAGCACTCATGAAAAGTTTTACGGATCAACATCGTCGTGACAGTCTTCAATGAAGGTGATTAGGTTTATATTAAGTTGTTACCTTACCGGTAAAATTCTCTTCGTCTTTAACGCTACAACAAGTTGGGTCGTCGCTATTTTGGTCCTTACAAAGTCATTTACCGCATTGGACAGGTTGCTTGCCATTTTGAATTAACAACGTCCGCACGGATTCATCCTGTTTTTTTTCATGTTTCTCTATCGCGCAAATGTGTGAGTGTGTCAAACCACCAAGTTACTCCATTGCACTTAGTTGATTCATCCACTACCATGGTATTACAACCAGAATCTATTATCTCCACTCGCGTTATTTCCCGTAACAGCCGCTCAGTTATGCAATGGTTAGTTCGCTGTGAGGGTTTTGCTATAGATGCTTCTACTTGGGAAGACAGAGATAATTTGCTCAACTCATTTCCTACTTTAAACCTTATGGACAAGGTTTCTGCAAATGGGGAAGGCAATTTTGTGACAAATACTAAGGAGGTAGCAAGCTTGAATGTGGCAGCGAGGAGTGGGACTCTGATCAAGAAATTACCAATCAAATTTGTTGACTGTGTGCTCAATCTACGTCAGCTCAAGCAATAACTGAATATGCTAAGAAATACTATAAACAATGGGGGTTAGTTGTGAGACGGGTATCTAAAAATTTGGTTTTTATTTGGCTCACTTTTCTCACTTCCTTCTACTGTAATTCCTTGTTTCTTGTTTGAGTAATTATACAAGCATCTTCATTTTACTTTTCTTATTTAAATTATTAACATGAGTTGTAACTGGTTGGGGAATTGGTAAGATGGGAAGGGCAATATATTCCATTGATATCGATAATGGTATTTGTTTTCTGAGGCTCAATTAATGATTTTGTCCATGTTGTTATGGTTTGTCCATTAATAAGGGCAAAGTTTGTTCTTCGTTGTTCATTTGTTTTTTTCAGGTCTGTGTGACGTAGGTGAATTGAGGTAATTTCATCTTTTTTATGTTTTTCTTTTATATCTTGGATTGGACATTATAAGCTTTTAGGAGAATGCATTGGAAAGACATGTGTTGGGGACCTAAATGCAAATGTCTGAAAAGTTTAGTGACCATATTGTAAACGTACTAACGGCAGTGTAACGCCGTCAAACGGTCAGGGATCATATTGCAAACAGACTAAATGTTGGAGGACCATATTACAAACGGACTAAACATTAGGGGACTATATTGTAAGTTTTAAAAGTCGAGGGACCTAAATAAAAGATTTAAAAAAGTTCAGTGACCATTATTATACTTTACCCTTAATTATAATACAAAGTACCTTCTTTCTACAACAAAAAAAAGTTATATCATTTGATGAATAGACTTGTTAATAATAAGTCATTCATTTGATAAATAGACTTGATAATTTTTAATTTAAATTTGTATCCATTCAATTATGTCTATTATTTTTTTTAACAATTCTATTTATCAAAGCTCAAGTCTCTTCATCAAATAATAATATTGATAAAAATTTTACTAGTCATTTTCTAAACATCAATTGGACCTTTTTTGAAGTCCTTAAAATTTATAAAATTGTCTAACTAATGTATTATGGTCGTAGGGTATTGATACCTTATGAAATGAATAATTTCATAAATTTTACTAGTTAAATTTGATAATGACACTTACGTAGGACATTGTTTTATAATATTGATACATCAAGTAATGTTATCAATCCTAATCATTTTTCTTTAAAAATTTCATAAATTCAAAGCTTAAAAAAGTATCTATACTTATAGTATAGGTACCGAGACCTAACATCTAGTATCAATACCAAATGGTAAGTATATGGATTAAAGCAGCTAAAGAATTAGTGCTAATTGAAGAAAAGGAATGGTGGGATAATCCGAGATTGTGTATTTCTTTGGTTCAAAAGCCCTTATCAGATTGGTGTTATCCACAACAAGGAAGTGTGATTTTTGTGATTGATGGCGTGTCCACGATAGAGATGGCTGGGTGTGGCGAAATTCTTCGGTGTGAGGATGGTTGTATTCGAGCTCTTTTTTTTGGTCCTGTAAAGAATTTGGTTGCAAATTATGCTAAAATTTTAGCATCTAAGTATGCTTTGTAAGTGTTTAGCTAGACTATATGGAAAGGAAATGTCGCTCTAATTATTGAAACCGACTCTAAAGTTCTACGTAATTGGTTGGGGGATATCTTACTGTTGCGAAAGACGGCTATCAGATAGAGCAAAATCGCAACTGATAATTTGAGAAAATAAAAAATAAAGATAAAGAAGACATAAAATTTACGTGGAAAACCACTAAATAATATAGGGTAAAAACCA